CATCTGCTAAACTCTGTAATGTTTTGCCACCTACAACTCTGTACTGATGCAGTTACTATGTGCAGGGTCTTGCTCTGTGTTCTGCATAGCATTACGTTTAAATATGTTCACTCCCCTTACCCCAAGCTACCATAGGCTAATGAAATGACCTAGATTGCATCCACATATATCAACTATATTTCATGTAACCACCATGCTTGCTTTAGTCTCTACAAGTCAAAGTAATTAACTATGTTTTTAACATTCACTAATAAAATGTTAAATCTGTTAAAACAGACTTCAGACATTTTCTAAATATGCACTGGCCCTTCTTTCTATTTGTTTTACATATTTTCATGTTGTCAGCCTTGGATGAACGCTGTCTAATTATATTGCAGTTGCTGAGGGTGAGAATCTGCCAGATGTCTTCTCCTATAAAGCTTCATACACATCCATGGCACTTTATCAGATATTCAGAGTAAGTGACATTGAGCTACAAGGCTGAACCTCAGGCAACATTTCCTTACAGGAAGAAGAACCATGGGACTGCAGTCTCACTCCCCAGGGAATGGAAGATGAAAGCGCTATTACTTGTGTCATTTGAAGTGAAACCAGACAAAACCCTGGGATATAAAGAGGGGGATGCAAACCTGGCTCCTGTGGAGAGCTGAGTGGGAGTAGGTACAGACTCAGCAGCTCTATTTCCATCCCAGATGTTTGTCATTTGGAGAGACCCAGAAATACTCATTTCTCTTCTTCTCAAAAACAGGTCACTGACCTCGAAATACCTACAACCACCCCCCATACTCCTTCCCCTTTGTCAAGTGGGTGCAACAGCTGCACTTGCCCAAACCTACTGCAGCTTTCTGCGAAAGGAGGAGATGGTGTGATAACGTGAGTTACCAAAACCACCTGCCACACGAGGACTCACAGGCACCGCTATTTCTGTCTAACAGCAGGGTGGTGCGGTGGTGGGGTGGGGACTTTCTGTGCCTCACAGAGGCATGGTGGGGGGACTCTGTGGTAAGAGGTGCTGATAAGCTGTAGAAACGGTTTCACAAACAAATGTCAAACCGCATCCTGTTATGCCTAAAACTCAACTGCTTTTCTCTTAAAAGCGCTCTGTAAAGGGTTGGTGGGAGGAGCGGGTCAGGTTCATAATGTGACCTAACTTCCATCCCTCACAACAATTAAGAAAGCTTTCTGCAGTGTTCATTGCCATACCATGCCTCTGACAGATTTCACAAACTAGCCCCAGCAGCACCCACTGACAATGCCCTGCAGCACCCACTGCTATTTCAGTTCCAGGCCTTCTCATCAGAACTACACCCGTGCACCTTTATGTTAACCCTAGAACCTCTGGGTTTTCCAGTCCTGGGACCTCCTGCTGCCTCATTTGTTCCATCCTTGAGCTCCCCATACCGCTGTGCCAATGCCCCTCGCTCCTGCACTGCACTCCTTCTGCTATGCCAGTTCTGGGCTTCCAGCTCAAGAAACTCCACCTGTGCCCTTCTATGCTGCACTACAGCACCTCCAACTTTCCAGTCCTGCATGTACTCTGCACCCTTCACTCACCTCTGCAGCAATGTTTTGGTACTGATCTTCATCTTCCTCTATTATTCATCTTCTGGGGCTTTCTTTTTTTTAGTAGAGTTCACTGTATAATATTGAAGTCCTTGAAGAAGTCCAAGATTATTTTAATAGAGTCTATCTAAGTAGATTTGTACACAGGTAGACCTTAAATTGCCCATTTTCCCCTTGAGTCTTTTAGGTGCATTCCATGAGCTGGGATGGCATCAAAGCCCTTCAGTAGCAGTTACTGAACCATTAACGAGAAATGAGAAGGTGCATTCCTTAAGTTAGGCCCTTCCCTTTCCATGGTGGGCACTGCCACCTGAACCCGTGACTGTTTCTAGCAACACTGGCCTAGACAGGGTCATGAACCACAGGGCTTGGATCTCAGTTTCAGTTTCCCAGCATCTCAGGGGTGCTAGGGATACTTATCTCTTCTTTCTCCATCATTTGGGGCTGTGAGAGGTGCCTCTAAATTACTTAGAGTTTATTCTGTGAAACCTACTGCCACTAGATATTAGTCATCTAGAAAAGAGTGGGGACAGCTACAACATCACTCTAACACTATGGTATCTGCAGGATCAGTTTCTGGTATCTTCAGCTCTTATGCTTTACCCAAGAAGTTTACCCCTAGTCCCCAGGCAAAATGCACTGATAATTGATAGCTTCCAATACTGTTCCCCACTGCATCTGTCCCCCACGTCCTGTTTCTTCACCATTTAGACTCCAAGAAATGTATGAAATGGAACAAATTGTACAAGCTGTTCTACATGTGAAAACTCAGCACTCATCTTAAAGCAGTATCTCCCTCATGCTGATCATTATTGATTCTTGGCCTTTCTAGGATTTTGTGCTAAAAAAATAAGTAGCTTGGAGCAAAATGTCCTGGTGCTCTTCTGACAGCACCACATAATAGCAATAATGCTGCCTGACTTGTGCAGCTCAGCTGCCACGTGGTGAAAGGAGGAAGCCAGCATAGCTGCCTCTCAACTGTATTCACCATAGACTACTGTTATAACATATAATATGTTGCTTATTTGCCAAGCTTTGAGTGAAAAGTCCTGAAGGCCGGGCTTTTGTTTCTTATGCAGAGTGCCACACAGTCCAGTGGTGTTATATAGGCTAACTGGGACAGATATTTAGATATGGATGAATGATATGTAGAGCAAAGCACTATTCTGAAACATGTGGCATTATCCATTGTCAGAAATAGGGAACTCAATGAGATCAGTTATTGCATGTGTTTTGCAACAGTGGACAATAAGATACTAGTATGGGTGGATGCCTGGTTTTCTCACACTGAAATAACTGATGAGGTAATAGGGGACAATATAGGATAGTGGCGGGCATGATCCATCTAGGCAGGGAGTGGTGGAGGGGAGAAAACAATTGGTTTCTTTCAGTGAAGCAGGAACTTGGTTTCTCCTGGCAAAACAGAGAGTATCACACCCGCCTAGATGAACACAAGGATGGCATGGTACAAAGATCCCCTTTTACAATGAATCCATGTGCTCAGACACCCAGCACAATTGCTACCAAATGACATCACAGGGTGTTGTGTCATGGGCCACGTTTTAACATTAGAACATGTTAAAAGTAGAATGTGTTCTGAGCAGTTGCATGGTAATGCTTACAACAAACTTATAACATGCACAACCTGTGTGCAGTATGCGTTATGCATGTTTTCTTTCCATTACAGGATCCTGCCAGTGCCCTACACCAGAGCTGGTTGGAGACTCCAGTGCAGTCCCAGGACTGGGACTGACAATCAGCTGGCTGTAGGTCCCAGCCCTGGGATTGCAATTGATTATATTGTCTCCATGAAGCAGTCCAATGTTAGCTCAGCACATATTGCTTAATACAATCTGGAGATACTCCTTACTGGAAAAGGCATAATTTTGCTACAGTATGATAGCACTTAGCACGTATTATCCTCCTTGAATGTGCAGATGCCCGTGTTTTAAGTACACTTAGCACATGCTAAGTGTCCCATTCAACATGCTGAGTGTCCCATTCTAGCCCTCACAAGCTTGGGGGTAGAATACTAGGCATGCATCCTTCAAAATGCATGCCCAGCCTACTCCTGGGGGAGCTGTCAGTAATTTTAGATCCCTTATCCTTTCTGTCACCCACTCATATTCACATATAAAGCCAGTCCAGTCCAGTGCATTCTCAAAGACATGAAAATGTCAAGGACATTTTTATTTCTTGCAGCAGCATCTGTTTAAAAACAAAACATAAATGCAGACAACATCCATAATGATTGCATGCATTTTTTTATCAGAAGCAAAGTTTTGAAGCATGAAAATACAGACGGAAATCCTCAAACTGCGGTTCTTAGCATTCATCTGAACCAAAGCCAAAGTACTGTGCTGGTTCCTGAAACAAACAGGACTTGTGAGGCTGGTGTGCATGCATCTTCCCCATTATGTAGCCCTGTATGAAGGCTCTGGCCTGCTTCTTTATGAAAAAGAGCTTCTAGTGCATCTGCTGAGGAAGAAAAGGAGATAAAACAAATTAGTCCTGGGCCACCCTCAGCTGTAGAACTGCAAGCACTGAACAGCTGAGAGTGAAACACCCAGTGAAATGGGATGGGGGAAAGGGTCATATTTCTGTCCCAGTTTGTCAGTCCACAACCCCACCCCTATCTGTGTCTGGTGCACAGAGCTAAACTGATCCATTTAAAGGAACAATTACAGAGGGGCATTTGGTCGGGTGATTATGTAAGTAAATGCTTGGTAGATAAACAGATAGTGAGAGAGAAGACAGACAGACAGACAGATGTAAAGAGAAAAGAATGAAACTGGCTTTTCTTTCCCTTCCATTGGTATAAATAAGGGGTATCTTTATTTAAGTCAGTGGAATCACATTGGCATAAAACCAGTACAAAAATAAATCATGGTTGCTGTATTTGTCCGGTATAAACATCAAAGGCAGACATGCATTGATCCTGGAAACTAGACTTCAAGGACCAACTCCTCTCTCCCGGTTGGCAATGGATAAATTGTGACCTAAAATGTTGACCTAAATGTTTTCTATCTCAAACATCTCAGATTGCTGCTTCCACAAGCTCTTGCTCTAGGTGGAAGGGATTAACTGCTGCTTTTTTGTAGGTGTTTCCTGTTAACTAAAGAGACATATGTGATGAGAAAAACCTCACCCTGTATTTTTTTCCATTCAGTTACTAAGGCTACAAATATTTCTACATAATGGAAACATCACGGCTTCTGTTTGGCCATGCTAGAGACTTCACAAGCAACTGAAAAAAACAAGAATCAGCTCAGAAGGCCCCCATATATATCTGATAAGCACCATGAAAATAAGAGATAACATACAGCTGAATACAGCCCTAGAGAAACAAGCTTCTTTATTTTCTCCCTCTCTTCCTGACCGCCCCTGCCCCTGCCCCTCCCCCAGTGCTCCTGTGCCCTTTTTCTGTTTCTTTTGTTCATAGACACATTTTTCCATCACTTGCCCTCACTCTCTTCTAATTTTCTGGTCATTCATTTCCTCCTTGGCTCATCTCTGGCCTTTTTCCTCTAGCGTCCAGTTTCCTTCACTCCTGTCTTATTGCTATGGAGGCTCTATATTCTGTCACATTTTACTCCTCTTCTTTTTGTCATGTGTTTCCTCTCTGTTTCTCTCTATCTCTGTCCCTCTCTCTAGCCATTGCACTTGCTTGAATACCAAGAAGGAGGGATACATGAAGAACATGAGAAAGAAAAACTCTAAATAAGCATTTTGCACCTTAAAAAGTGTAGATGTTTTATTCTGGGGAGAAGGAGGAAGCTGGCCCCTATTTTGTCTGAGCCAGGTTCCCTCCAAACCCTCCACCACATCTTTGAGCTAGAATGCACTTCAGCACTGGTGAGGCCACATCTGGAGTACTGTGCCCAGTTTTGGGGCCCCACTACAAAAAGGATGTGGACAAATTTGAGAGTCCAGTGGAGGGTAACAAAAATGGTGCAGAGAGAAGGCATGTGACTTATGAGGAGAGGCTGAGGGAACTGGGTTTATTTAGTCTAGAGAAGAGAAGACTAAGGGGGGGATTTAATAGCAGTCTTCAACTAGAGCCCCCCTGAAGGGGGGGGCTCTACAGAGGATGGCGCTGTACTGTTCTCAGTGGTGGTAGGTGACAAAAGAAACAAAGGTCTGAAGCTACAGCAAGGAAGTCTAGGATAGCTATTATGAAAAAAAAACTTTCTCACTAGGACAGTAGTAAAGCACTGGAACAGTTTACCCAGAGCGGTTGTGGAATCTCCATCCTTGGAGGTTTTTAAGACCTGGCTAGACAAAGCCTTGGCTGGGATTATCTAGTTGGGGATGGTCTTGCTTTAAGCACGGGGTTGAACTAGATGACCTCCTGAAGTCCGTTCCAACCCTAATTTTCTATGATTCTATGATTCTAAGGGAGTACAGAAAAAAAGATTCCTCTCACCTTGCTCCGTAGTATAAGCCCCATCACAAACAACCCATACAAGATACTCTTGCAAAAAAGCATCAGGTACACAAAATACCCAGTTCTGGAACTTCTCTGGTACAACTCTGAAAGGCAAGGAAGGAAACAATAAATCCAAACCAACAGGGAAGTGGAAGATTTCTTTGGAGTCTTTAGGAGAATAAAGTTCAATGCTTATCTATAAACTCTGGTGGTGATCTATCTGGCTGCCTATGGCTCTATCTCCAAGAAGGGTTATAATCCTACCGGATGTCACAAGGTGAAGATGGTTGGCCCTACCTGGAATAGATCTGAAGACTGCTAAAGAGAATCTAAGAATGTGAAGACCTCATCCTGGAAACTCAAGGAGTGAGACCATTCCCTCAGAGACAATACTAATCCCAGCACTCTCCTTTAAGGGGATGATAAGCATTAGGGAAGGGTGTGGGCACTTCCATGGGAGATGCTCTCCCCTCTGAGTCAGTACTGAATTTCCCACTAGATTGTGAGGGGTGCACTGCTGCTGAAGGTGCAATGTTTTAGCAGAGAGAGAGCTGGAGTACTGAACACTTGCACGTAGTAAAAGGATTTTTGTAGGTGTAGGCCTGAGCGCACACACACCACCCATGTTCTCTTTCGTACAACCACATCCACACAGGCACACACACATACCTCTGTGCACCAATAAATATGTGTACACACATATGCCTCTGCATACACAATTATACACATGCACATCTGCATGCATATGCATGCCCCCACATGCATGTTGCCACATTGGATACACAAGCACAGAAATACTTCTATATATCCAACATACATATGAGGCTGCCTGCACACACATATGTAAATCCATGTTTCATGACAGCATGAACTTAAAACGAGAAAAGGGTTTTTTTAACTGACCTTCAGTGATACTGCAACCTGAAAGCAGAAGGAGAAGAAAAGTGACAATTAGTACCTGAACCCATACATCTGTTCCACTAACAGGGGACTCCCAGCTCCCACAACTATCTGTGGATGCAGGGAGGAGGGCTACATCTCTATCTTCCTGTTTGGAGGAGACCTGGTTTGGATTCCTTGGCCTGGTCTCAGTTTCCCAAGAGCTGTCGAAGGCTAGGAGTGTTGCACAGAATGGCCCAAAGGCCATAAAGTGCAGCAATGTGTTCTGCTTTGCAGGAGCCCAGTATGCCAATTTCTATGTTCCTATTCTTTCTCTCAGGCTAGCAGTGAACCTGGTACTAGTGGCCTGGGGTGCCAGGCATGAGAACTACTTTCTAGTCTTACTGCTACAACCAGGGCTGGGAAGGCTATATGGATCAGGCTCAATACCTTGACAGATTTCCTGCTTTGGACTCACCTGCTACACCTTGAATGTTTTTCGGATATTGTACTGGTGTTGACTCTTTGCCATAGAAGCTGACAAGACACTGGAAAATGTTCTTGGTGTTGAACCACTCCTGGCTGGGGATCCTCAGGCGGCTGGTCAGGGAGTACATCCGTGTTTGGTTGTCCCGGGTGGCATGCTCATCTGTCCCCACACCTTCTGTCCTCTCATTACCATTGACTTTCCAGGTCACGTTGATGTGGTCGGGGTAGAAGCCTGTGGCCACACACACCAGCGTAGCCTTTTTCTTCTCTTTGATCTCCTTTTGTGATGGGGCAAAGACGGTCACTTCAGGCTCTGTGATATTGAGGTCATCCTCTAGAACAGAAAGCAGCATGGCCACTGAGCTTAGCACAAGTACCCATGCCCTCCCCTGTGTCAGAAGCCCCCTCCAAGCCACCAATTAAACTACGTGGCAGAAGAATCAATGAATGGAGATTCTGTGCTACCTTTTGGATTCCTCAAAGGGGACCCAATATTTTAAACCCAAACAGAAGTACATTTACATTATCTTTTATACATTTAAGTACATTTATAATACATTTTTAAATATTTTGGATCAGAGGCTGAACCTGTAGTCACTCCGTAGGTGCCACTTCCGCTGAAGTCATGGACTTTCACTAGCTGCAGAATCTGGGTCTAGTATTTGGCATATATCAGTACCAGGTAAATGTACTTTCTCTTTGTCTGTCTGTCTGTCTAGTCCTGTCCTGAGACCTATTTCTCTTTCATCACTTGGTGTATCGCAGTATATTCTCTTTCACTTCAGAATGAAGCCTTTAAAGTAAAGCTTCATGCCCAGTCAGTTTGATTTCCAGTCCCTCAGCAAAACCCCTGCTTTTGCTCCTACAGTTTGAAAAAAGGGGGAAAGAAAAAAAAAACAGAGTGCAGCAAGACTTCCCAACCCCCTCCCACCAAATACCGCAAAGAAGTTTGGAGCCCAAGAGTAAGGAAACACACCCTATAGATCACCTTTCCTTACCTAAGACAGTCAGCTTGGTTCCTGTCCCAAAATGCTGCTCATATGAAGAGCACAGAGCCACAGAGATGTAGTAAAACTGCCTCTGCTGCCTATATAGCCTAAGGCTCTTATACTTCTTAGGCCAAACTCTGACTGAAGTCAAAGGCAATTTGCCTAAACAGGGGCCACAGGACTAGGCCTGCAGAGTCTCTTCAAGGAACCAGGAAGAATCCATGTTGTACAAGGCCATTTGGCCACGAAAGGTATATAAGGCACCTATTGGACTTAGGTGTGGAATAGTGTGATTCTATTATATTCAGCTTAAATAGCTGAAAATCCCTAAACGCATCTAATCTTGTAACATAACATCATCTTACCCTTAAGACTAAGTCAGAAAAGATGAAAGACGAGGAGGAGGACCCACTCTTTTTTTGCATTAAGTATATTTCAGGGCCTTGAGCAGGGTGGATTAGAATTACACTTAGGTGCCCAAGTCCATTTATGCACCTAATAGGTGGCATGGAATCTGGCCCTTGGATTCTGCACTTTGACCCCACTCCCCATTTCACAGGGCTTATTGGCTTCATCATTTGTAGTCCTAAGTTGTCCTTGACTCTGCAGTGGGCCACTCCACTACCTTCACCAGGCAAATCTGTTTCTGAGACCAGCCCCTTCTGACTCTCAGTATCTTTTGTGTATAAGGTTCTCCTAAACTCTTCTTTCTAGGGCCTCTGTTTTTTCCTGTCTGTCCTGCCATTTCTGAAAGAACTGAACTTATTTCTTCCTTCACTCATATTATTTCTTCAAGAGACTGATTTTTGCACAAGGATGGAAGAGGTAGAGTATTACAATGAACTAGCCTCTGTGGGCCTTATGCAAACAACTCAACTAAGGTAAAAAACATAGTCAAGAGCTCAGCAAGTTGGGTGACAGGTTCTGTTCCTGACTCTGCCACTGATGCTGAATGAGACCTTGGATGAGCCATTTAACTTGTGTGTGCCTGTTTCCCACTGCATAAAATGCAAGTCATGATGTCCAGTCCACCCACACTCATAAAGAGCTTTGAGATCTGTGGATAAAAATATTCTATATAAAGGATATAAACACAGTTTTTTGTAATCCTATTCCTCAACTACATTATTAACTGAATACATGCTATGAGTACTTGAGCATGTGTGTGTGTATGTGTGCATGTGGTTTAGAATAAAGCTATAATTTGGCTGACTGAATTTTTTTCACTACTAATTTCATCGAAAAAAGCCCAGAATATTTCTGGAACCACATTAGAAGGAAACCTTCCAGCCCCAAACTTCTATGAATCTGTGTGAAACTAAAATTGCTTCATTCAAAATTATTCACAGTGAAGATTTCCCACTTTTTAGTTAGCCCAGCCACTCATCCATCTCAGGGTCTCTTCTACCTGGCATAACAGCAGGATTATGTGAATTCCACCTGTGTATATTGTAACCCGGACTGTGTGAAATAGAACGAAGAACATAAGAAACAAGGCTGAATACTAGACACTTCCCTGTGATGAGAGCTTCTCAGGCTGTCTCTGCAAATAAATAAATTCTGGCTGTCTGCATGTGCACAGAATTAATGGAGAAAAAACTTGTTTGATTACTTGTGTTTTACTTTTTCTGCCTAAGCAGTACAAGGTTATGCCTTGCCGTACATACTTCTTGAGCAACGGGGTTTCCATGAATTGATTTCCTTTGGGAGGCAGTTTGAAGGCTCTCTGCACTAGGAAATGTTTTCTTGAGTCACCGTATGAACGTTTCCCCTTTAATTGAATTCTGTTCCCTTTATCTCCCCTCAGGACTCTACAGGGCAAATTGATTAATCCTCTCCCTCCTTGGTATTTACATTCTTGTCTGTTTTTTCTTTCTTTCTTTCTTAGGAATCCAGCATGCTCTTCTTGAATATGCACAGCTGGACCTGTCCCAGGCATGTTGGGGACATTCAGAAGAGAATTATCTCCCTAATCACATTGACCAGCCAGAAACAAACATAACGGGGTGGAATCCAGACCCTTTTAAAAATCAATGTTACTTTTGCCTTTGATTCAGAATTTTACCTTGTATTTTTTTTTCACTTTCCTTTCATGAATCCTGCCTTCCCAAGGAAAAAAAAAAATGTTTTTTGTTGGCTTTTGCTGTTCAGGGGAAATGCATAGATCCTGAGTGTCTGGTAAGACATCTGACCCAGAGGCATAACTATCTATTTCCACACCCTGGGCCAAATGGAGGGGGAATGTTGTGCAGAGAAGGGCTGAGGTTTCAGGCAAGTCTTACCACTCCTAGAGACTCAAAAGACCTCTGCTGCTGCAGTGCAGAGTTGTGTACCATGGTTGCAACATCCAACTCTGTAGGGGCTCAGGGCTGCTGCTGCTGCACAGAATACCACCCCCACCCTCCCGGCCACCGCATCCCTGGCTCCCAGCATGTTCGATGACCCTGAAGTGACAGCTCCCCAGGGGCCACCTTTCTCATGCCCCCGCTAAGGCTGTGCCTGGGGTGGGTGACCCTGTATCCGCCCCTAGTTAGGCTATTGGCCCGACCGTAAAATGAAATTTCTGTTTTCCTTACCTAGAACTGTGAGTTGGGTCCCGTCTCCGAAGTATACCTCTGCACCATAACCAGAGCACAGCGTTTTCCCCCTAGTACCAATGACCCCCCTCCTGACAACAGGGCTCCTCCTCACTCCTTTACTTTTCTGTATTTCCCGTTCATCTCCTTTTGCCCCTCTGTCTCATCTTCTGTCATCTCCTCACTCACCCCCCTTGAATCCCCCTTGAGATCAATTCATCCAGAAGCAAACTGAGCTAGCTGTCACCATAAGTTTGCTTTTCTATCCTGGACTCTTTATCCCATTTCTTTTTTTATTTCCCTCTTACTCACCCAAGACAGTCAGCCGTGTCCCTTCACCAAAGTATAGGGGGTTTGCTCCAGAACACAGCCTCCGAGAGCTGCTCCAAAACTAGCTCTCCTGTCTGTCTCTCCCCTCTGCTGTACCCAAACAGCACAAAACCACCCTGCAGGGCCTTTCAGTGGATCTGGGTGAAGTCTTCACTATGTAGCAGCTGGGTCTTTTGCCTTTGAAGCAGTACAGGATTCCTCTGGGCTGCAGCCTTTTCTAGTTTTATATAACTCAAACAATGAAACAATCCCCATTCCACACTCCACTGCCCACCCCACAGACTTCCCTCATTATTTAGTTTCCTCCTATTCATCCTGCAAGTATCCTGACCTTCACATACACATCCTAACCCAGACACTCCCACCCTGTTATGAAAGTTAGGTCTTTCACTCACCCAGCACGGTCAGTCGAGTTCCTGTCCCAAAATATTGGATGTCTGAGGAGCACAGCTGTGCACTGTAGTGCCAGAACTGTACATTGCCATGCTGGGCCACTTCCCAATGCAGCCTATTGTTAACCCTTACAATGCTGGCCTCTTCTAGAGCAGCAAGCAACAGTGTACTGAGGGAAAATTAATGTACATCCATTCATCATACATCTATCTATGCTTTTATTTAGCTATCTAACTGTCTGTCTGTACATGTCTGAGCAGGATTTAGAAGACTGATTACCTGCATCCACTTCCTAATGGTGACTTGGGTCAGACCTCAGATTTCAAATGACTCCACATCATCCTACCTTCAGTTAAGCAGCTCACTCCTGACTCCTGCCTTTAGGCTCCAGCATTATCAAACACCCCAAGACTTGGTGTTTATCCTGTGAGCATCTTCTACACCACTCCCCACCCTCATTACGCTCCTAATCCATTCCTTTTCCTCATGCATCCAGCTCCCTGGGCAGCTTTATTCTTTATGTATGTCCATGTCCCACCTCAGCCCCTTTCCTCTCACCTCTTTTTCTGACACACACAATCCCTTAGATATTAGTGGGACACAGAGACGTGTGAGTTCTGGGTGCTGCATAGCCCCTGTGTAGGTATAGCCTAACTGTGGAGGTCTAGTTGGACATGGGGGCCATTTCTAGAGGAGTCCAGACAGGACACTGCATGAGCATGGGACATGGTCACCAGGGAGTCTACCAGATGAACACCACCATCCAAAATGCTGACTGTTATTCTAGGTACTCAAGAGCTTCCCCTTTTCTTCTCTTATTAGATGTGGGGTCTCCCTAAGTTCTTCCATTCATCACAAGAGATTAGACCCATTCACTCAGGGTCCCTTTCTGCCTACCTGCCTTCCTTCCATCCTTCCTTCTTCATCTCAGTAATCTTATCAACAACATGGCAAGGAAGAGCTACTCAAGTTAACCCATCAGTTAGCTGTACCCAAGGCATGCCCAGTCATCATGATAGGGTTAGTTAGTTTATTCCTTTCTCAGCCTCTCACCATCATCTCCCCCTCTCTCTTCCCTCAAGACCTTCTCAGTATATTTGCCAAGCTGTAAGTGCTGGCTCAGCATGAGCCACTGAGCTGATGATATCTCTTACCCAAAACAGTGAGCCTTGTTCCTTCTCCGAAGTATGGTATAGAAGTTGTACACAACCTGGCTCCCTCATACACAAAGCCTTCTCAGGAGGAGGGTGATGCCACAGTGGAAGAGATGTGCTCTCTCTCCTCTCTATTATCAATACAACCTGTCCCTTCCCTCATCTCCCAGTGACTCCCCATCCCCTGGAGGAGCCATTCTGACCTCTGGCAATGGGGTGACCTGCCTGCTTGGGGTGCTGGTACACCAACGGATAACTAGTACCATAGACTATGTGTGACCATCTTCCCTTTCCAGTCCTCCCTCCACTCCTTCCTTCTTACTGCTCCTGACCACAAAGAATGGTGGTAGACAAGGATCAGTGGTCTGTCTGTCCTCCCAATGGAAACTGCATGTATTCTGTGTGTGCATGGGGCTGGTTTTAATTGTCCTGATCAGGGACACTTCTTTCCTTGGGCTGGATCCCAGCCTACACCTCTTATTCCAGCATCTAGAGGATCTGACTGTTAAGATGCCCTCACTGCTCTTTTGCATCCTAACATTCTGCCTCCCGATAACTAGGTGCCCGTAGTTTGGCTGGCTGTATCCACTCACCTAACACAGTCAGTCGTGTCCCTTGTCCAAAATTCAGTGGCGAAGTGTTAGAGCACAGCATGAAACCCCTATAGCCAAAAGGAAGAGCCCCCAAAGGCAGAGGCTGCCCCTAGAGGAAAAGCTCAAGGGAGCCTCATTCCTCTGCTCCCACTGAGTTGCAGAGTCCCTCTAAGTGCTGTGTATAGGAGTCCTCACACAAGGAGAGTGGTCCCAATTGTCCCCCTGATATGTCCCAAAAGGCATAGACCTTTCCTTAATCCCTGCTCTAAGACTTTCCCTCCACCTGCTCATGCTATGACCTCTTGTTCTTTGTTTCCAAGTCTGCAGATAATCCCTTGTCATCTATATTAGCCTCTTGGAGGGATTTTCAAATTGACCAAGTCTCTGCCACAACTTGAGCAATCTTTCAGCTGGGGGACATGACTTGATCTCTTGATGTCCTTCTCCAGACACTCTCGTCCTCAGCTACTGGACTGGTGACTACCTAGGCCAGCCCAGTGCCTGGTGCCTGGATTAATCTGTAACTTCCAGATTCATTATATTTAGTTCAAGGAAGCATACACCTAGCAAAAAACCTTTTTTCTCTCATCCCTTCCTCAAACAACTTCCACACTCACTTTCTCCCCAGATGTCTCTGCCTCTGCCATAGTACAGTTTCTCCTCTGCTGTTTCTTTGCTCACCAATTCTCTGTTTACTTCTTAGCCTGTCCAGGGAACATAAATAACTAAGGATGGCTCTCTTCCCCACCACCCACTGAAGTCAGCGTAACTGGTGGCCAAAGTTGGCCAGGGAGATTAAAGCTAAATTTACAGGGTAAACATTCAGTATATAGAGGCAAATTTCCCAGAGCAAGAATTCAAAATTTCCCTTTATTAGGCTCACAAATACCTTGTAAGATGCATTTCCTTACCTAAGACTGTCAGCTTGGTCCCCTCTCCAAAATTCAGCGGTTGATTGTTAACACAGCCGATTTGCTTGCTGCTAAAACCCCCAGGCAGCAGTCAAATGGCTGCAATGACACTGGGAAGAAGGTAGGATACTCCTTTGGAAGGCACATTAAACTGCTTGGGAGGAGACATTAAATTGAGTTCCCTTCTAACAAACTTTGTCAGGGTTTTCCAGGACAAGACTGAAGACTCTCAGGGCATTTTTTGAAGAGCAGGATAGGAGGGTGGCATGGTTATCCAGACAATATTGCTTCTCATTCTGTTAGATGACCCTGTAAAGCTTAGGATTATAGGAAAGCAGAACTAGAAGGGTCCCCACAGGATTATCTAGTTCAGTCCCCTGTTCAAAGCAGGATCATCCCTGACTAAACCATCCCAGCCAAATGTCTGTCTAACCAGCTTTTGAACATTTCCAAGTATGGAGATTTCACAACTTCTCTAGGTAGCCTGTTCCATAGCTTGAGGCTATGTGAAAGCTATAGGTGAAATAAGACCATTAACAACATTAGCTCACACCGTATTATATATTTTCTGCTATTTGAAATGCTTTGATTTGATTAGGGAAGTGTCAGTCACTGAGAGAAAAATGTCTCGTCTTTCTGTGCCCATCTATCCCTGAATCCTGATCCATTTCAGAGTATACAGGTGCCGGGAGAGACATCAGGACCCTCCTGCCTGAACCCTCTCAAAATTGGTGTAACCCTTTCCTAGTGGCAACCTGCAATCTACTCACCTAGAGGTCCATGACATATATTTCTCTTACCTAGCACGGTGAGTTTGGTGCCCTCGCCGAAGTACACTTCAGAGTATGAACACAGTGCTAGAACCACTACCTGCAAACACCTGCCCTCCTCCCAGGAGGCTGCTGTTTCTTGTACTCTTTTTGTACAGCTGTACTCTTTTTTTCCCCCCTTCCTCAAGTCCTGAATCTACTCTGGAAAAAGGTCAGCCTGTCTAATGCTTGCCAATGTCTTGGGATGTATGTGTTGGATTCAGATCAGAGGAGTAAGAAACGGAGAAGAGCTCCTCTCTTCCTTACAGTCCATTCTCTCAGGTTTTGTCCCAGCCCTGGCAGCCGGCCTGAGGACAGGGGCTCTTTTCCCTCTCTGCACCTTTGTGAATGGTTCTCAATTGACCCTACTCTGAAGTCCCGTAACTAAAGGAACCTCTTTGGCATAGGAAACACAATGGCCTGGAGGAAACTTACCGAGCACGGTCAGCTTGGTGCCGTCACCAAAGTACTGCTGTGTGTTTGCACAGTGCAATAAAGAGGTTTCAGAATCTCCTACCCTCAGGTATATGATTAAGAGCCCACAGGGAGTCTGTCAGTTGGGCAAGGGGGTCTGGACAGTACAAAGAGACTCAGCAAGGGACTCTTACCTGAGATGATACATAGCGAATCTGTCTGTCTACCTGTCTATCTATCCGTGTGTGTCTGTCCTTCTGGAGAGACATACGTCTTGGATAGCACTGGAATAGCACGTTCTGACCCTTCAGGTCCCGTCCAGCCTGCAGACCGCATATTTCTGCAATTCATATCTGTATCCCGCACCACAACCCTTTCCTCTGGACTCTATTCGCAACAAATCTACACATCTGGTTTCTCATTTACACTTGTCAAAAGTACTTCGTTTGATGCCCTGTATTTAATAACTTAATACCTTTTCCTTACCTAGTACAGTCAATCTTGTCCCGGAGCCAAACTGTAGTGGAGATTGATTCACAGTGCTACAGAGACCACCTCAAAATATGCCCCTCCCCAGAGTAAGGATGGAGGAAAGTAGAAAATGTCATAGTGAACTTGTCAGTACACAGGTTGGAGTGGGCTTGTAACTGAGGACAGTTCAAAAGGGCGAGAAGGTATTTTCTAGTGGTGAGACTGAGTAGCCAGTGGCATTGTCTCCCAAAGAGAAGAGGTGGAAAGTCTACCACATGGACACTGAAAACACAGGGGGGAGCAGGGCTTGATAGGGTATTCCCTACCCATTGTCCCTAGAAGTCACTTACCTAGGACGGTGAGCCTGGTCCCCTCTCCAAAGTACACGACGTTACCAGAACACAGTGCTGGTAGGCCTGGCAAAATCAACTACAGTTTTTTTCTTGGGGTGGCTCAGCCACCTGGCACTTGGGAATGCCACAACACAGCTCCCTCCATGAAGGAAGCTTCGAAAGGCTGTGGGAGGACTGGAAAGGAAGCGATGCGGAAACCAGGTTGCTACATGGTGTGACTCTCACTGGTGCTTCTTGCTTCTTCACAACAGATGTCTGCCTGATGAGGTTGTCCTGTAGAGGAGTCCCATAGATCAAGAAACCATGGGATGAGCTGAACGGGGCCTCCTATGCCAGGGCAGCCTCCGCTGGGAGGGTTGGCTAGAAGCCTGTTTCCGCAGGTCTGACCCAGGACAGCCTACAGGTTGGGGTGCATGATAGCTTGAAACTAAGCCGGCAACCCTTAGAGAAGCTATGGACACCAGGAAAAAATGCTCTGCTGTGTTTTGCACAGCTCTCCTTGTTGAGGGCATTCCCCAGGCACCTCCAACCCTTTCTACAAAGGGAGGTAAGTTTTTGTAAAGGCCTCCCGGCAGAATGTATCATCGTGCCCTGTTGTAGCACTATATTTCAGCCTTCTACAAAAACAGCTCCTCCTTCAGTCCCGCCTCTACCCCTGCTGCACTGGGAGGGGACTGAGGACATGTCGGGGGCTGTGTTCATACTGACTGAGCTGAGGAAGAGGATGACGGTGGTTGGGGTTACCATACCACACAGACACCTGGCTGGATAGAGGCATTTCTAGGACTCCCTACAGCAGCAATTTGCTGTGCTGTCTCCCCCCTCCTTACTTCCACTTGCTAAGAGAACCTAGTATTTATATCGGAGGAGGAGGGCCAGGGGGAGGGGCTGGAAACCACACAATTACCCGAACAGACACTTTTACAGAGACAATCATGCGGATCCACATACAGAGACATGGCTTTGAGCACAGGGTGCAAATAGCTGACAATGCGTTGTACACATAGAGGCACAGATACACTTAAAAAGCACATGTAGGCAGACAGAGGAGTGAGGAAATAGGGGTAAATGAGTACAGCAACGAATGCCCCACAGCCGCTGAGTCAGGGCTGGAGATTGCATGTAAGTCCCATGGGAGACAGAAACGTGGTCATTCCTGGCCAAACAACCCCCCACAAATGTGTTCATGGTACTGGGCAGTAAATGGTCACAGGAAGTTTTAATTGACAAAATGTGGGCAAAAAGTTTTCAGGAGCATTTTTTTGCCCGTCTCTGGAAACTTGGACAGGATGGAGATGTACACACACTCACCAGAAACCATGGAAATGATGCAATCACATTCTGAATCCTGTCTTAGTAGGCAGTGCTCCTCCAAAGATCCCCAAGGTCAAGTACAAGTGCAGAAAAGACACTAAGTCCTAAATCCTGGTTACTTTTCATGCCTATAGTTTCATAGTTTCTAGGGTCAGAAGGGACCTGAGCAGATCATCTAGTCTGACCCCCTGCCATGGCAGGAAAGAGTACTGGGGTCAAATGACCCCAGTGAGGTGTTCATCTAACCTCCTCTTAAAGACTCCCAGGGTAGGA